TCATTATTTCAATCTGACTTCTTTAAGGAAAAAACTTGCTCAACGACTTCAAGAAGCAGAAGAGCAAGTTGAAGCTGTGAACTCCAAATGTGCCTCTTTGGAGAAAACAAAGCAGAGACTGCTTTGTGAAGTGGAAGACCTAATGGTGGATGTTGAAAGGGCAAATGCACAGGCAGCTGCTCTAGACAAAAAACAGAGAAATTTTGACAAGGTATATTTTGGTGTATTACAATTTTAAAAAGTCTATTGCCAACAGAGGTATGACTAGATTTGAGGAATGGAGGCATAGTGTGTAAATATAGAATGTGGATTTTGTAAACCTGAATTTAGGATTTAGATTATACAGTAGTGTAAACTTAGTTAATATCATTCTCAGATCCTCTCTCTGTGTACTAACCTGTACATAAGCAAGCCAGGGTTATTATTCAATCGTCAACAATTTGTGTTAGTTTCATCTGCACCTTCTTAGCTTAATTGAGATACCATTAGCTGGTGTGTTCAGACCATACTATGGGATACGCAAGTCATATCTTGACTTGTTTAGGATTAAGGGTATTACCTGCCACTGTAAGATCAGTGGGGTTTAAGAAAGTGATGTGTAGGTAGAAATGCTACTGAAATGCTGGACAGATTTAGCAGAGGAAAAAAGCAGACAAAATCAGCACTATAGTAACTGACTCAAACATATCGGATATTAAGATTTTGGCAGAATGGAAGACCAAGTATGAGGAGAGCCAGTCAGAACTGGAAAGTTCCTTAAAAGAAGCTCGCTCTTTGAGTACTGAACTTTTCAAAATGAAAAATGCCTACGAAGAAACATTAGATCAGCTGGAGACAATCAAGAGAGAAAACAAGAATTTGCAACGTAAGTACCATATCTTGGTGTTTTGTTGGCATTTTAACTCTAACAAGTACAGACAGGCTGTATAGGTAGTCCTCAACATACAACCACAATTGGGACTGGAGGTTTCACCATTACATGAGGCAGTGAGTCTCACATCCAATTTTACAACCTTTCTTCTAAATCAGTGTTTCCCAAACTTGACAATTTTAAGGCATGAGGACTTCAACTCCCAGAATTCCACAGCCAGCAACGCTGGCTGTGGAATTCTGGGAGTTGAAGTCCACATGCCTTAAAATTGTCAAGTTTGGGAAACACTGTTCTAAATCATTGCAATTGTTAAGCAAATCTGGTGTCCACCATTGATTTTGCTTGTCAGAAGCTGGATAGGAAAGTTGCAAATAGTGATCACATGACCCTGGGACACTGCAAGTGTCATAATTACATGCCAGTTGCCAAGCACCTGGATTTTGATCACATAACCATGGAGACACTATGACAATCGTTAAGTGCGACGACCAGTATTAAGTCCACTTTTTTAGCGCCTTTGTAACTTTGGTCACTAAACAAATGATTGTAAATCATTGACTACCTGCCTTATTCAAGACAGAATTTTTCCCTTGTGAAACCTTTATGATGTGAAGAATTATTACTGGAATAACTGCCAAGTTGGGTTTGACTTTGTGTATGAAAACTTGAAAGATTATTTAGGCAAAAGTTAATGAAGACAAAAGACCATCCAGCACTATAGTCTGCATTGAAAACTGCCAAATTTCACCGTGTTCTCAATTCCATACCAGGAGTCATCGAGGCTAAAATAAAGTGCCCTTGCCTAATAGTTCTGCTTTCAGCAATGATGACTTCTTTCAGGGATGCAATAATGAATCAAATTAATTTTGCATAATCTATCTGAGCAGTTCAACCTTTTCCATGATTATTGTCCCATGAATAGTTGTTTGGTATATTTGGAACCGAGGATGAAAATGCAGACCCTTTTGGGATGACAGAAAAAGGCATCAATCTCAGCTCTGCTTAAGCCTGTTTATGGTCACAGGCAGATTGCTCTTCTTTTATTCATTTAATCAACTATTTGTGTGCTTTAATATTTTGCAGAAGAAATTGCTGATCTCACAGAACAAATTGCTCAAAATGGCAAGTTTATCCATGAACTTGAGAAAGCCAAGAAACAGATAGAGGTAGAGAAATCTGAGATGCAGATGGCTTTGGAGGAAGCAGAGGTAAGAAGTTAAAGATGGATTTTTTTAAAAAAAAGGTTGTTAAGTACACTTTTATAAGTGTCTTTTTGAGGGGGACCTGAAAATGTAATTCACAGCAGTTATTTAATTCTGTGTTGTATACCCATTCATTTACAAAAAAACCCCTTCCATTTTGATGCCAGCTCATTTTACAGTGTTCTTCTAAAAAGAGTCTCAAAGTTTCTCAAACCCAGTCTCCATACACATTTATTTTCCAATAGGCAGCTCTTGAACATGAGGAAGCCAAAATTCTCCGCATTCAGCTTGAATTGACCCAGGTTAAATCTGAGATTGATAGGAAGATTGCAGAGAAAGAAGAAGAAATTGATCAGATTAAGAGGAACAACCAAAGGACTGTGGAAACCATGCAAAGTGCCTTGGATGCAGAAATCCGGAGTAGAAATGAGGCTATAAGGATTAAGAAGAAGATGGAAGGTGATCTAAATGAAATGGAAATCCAGCTGAGCCATGCCAATCGCCTTGCAGCTGAGACACAGAAACATCTGCGGAATGTTCAAGGACAGCTCAAAGTACTTTCCATCAATTAATGTTTTATATGAATAATCAAAATTATTGGCCCAAGGATCACCCCTGTTAAATACTATTCTTGCTTGAAATTAGGACACACAGCTACATCTGGATGATGCTCTCCGAGGCCAAGAAGATCTAAAAGAGCAATTGGCCATGGTTGAACGCAGAGCTAATCTGATGCAGGCTGAGATTGAGGAACTCCGAGCAGCTCTGGAACAGACAGAGAGAGGAAGGAAGATTGCTGAACAAGAGCTTATTGATGCTACTGAGCGGGTGCAGCTTTTGCATACTCAGGTATGGATGGCGTCATGATAGCATTATAAGAATTGTCTCGCAAAACCTTGTCTATCATGGAGTGTCCAACATTGGCCTACAAGATGCTCAAAAGTATAGCACAGTGGTTCTTAACCTTTTTAATGCCATGACCCCCAACCGGTCATAAGTCGAGGACTAAACCGGTTGTAAGTCGAGGACTACCCAACCGGTCATAAGTCGAGGACTTTCCCTGCCCGGGAGCATCACGCATGCATGGTGCCGCCCCCTGCGCCGGCTGAGGCATAGCTGGCAAGCGGCAGAGACGGAGCAGGCCGACCACTGGCTGGGCCACCAGCTGGCCCAGCCCAAGGGAGGTAAGGCACCCGCCGGAAAAGGAGAAAAAATGGCAGACAGCCTTGCTTGGTGTCCCCCGTGAAATGGTCGATCGACCCCAAATGGGGTCGCAACCCATAGGTTGAGAACCGCTGGTATAGCATGATGGATATAGCTATTCTGTTGTTTATTTTCACAACAAGAATACTGAGTCTAAGTTTGGAAGACATAACCCTAATAATTACTAGGAATTGTTGCAAAAATATTCAGATACATTTTCACTCTCTCTTCTTTAGAACACTAGTCTCATTAACACAAAGAAGAAGCTGGAAGTTGATATTTCTCAGCTTCAAGGTGAAGTGGAAGATGCCATCAAAGAGGCCAGAAATGCAGAGGAAAAGGCAAAGAAGGCCATCACAGATGTAAGTCTCATTTTTACCGCATGCAAAACAATCTTCTCAAATCAGACAACCTACTTTTCAAAGCTTATTCTGGAAAAAAAAATGAGACTTTTGCAGATGGTTTAGGCATTCATTATTAATGTAAGTAATCTTGTACAGAAATCTAGTGGGAAGTCCCAACTGTGTAGCTCACTTTGTTTGCTTGTTTGTTTACAGAATTTATAGGCCACTCCAATTGACTTATTAGTCCCCAAATCCATAACTTGGGTAAAACCAGAAAAAGATGACAAAATCAAGTTAATATTTACAATTACATAAATCAAGACTAAAAACCACAATACAGCTGTAAATCTAGACATTCAAAGCCAAGGTTAAACCCCTTAAATTCACCGAGAAAAGGAATAATTTATCAAGCTGGTTATGGGATGCTCATTCCTGATTCCCAAGTTGACCTTCTCATCTTTATTTTATATGGATTGACTTTGGCTATTTGTTGATCTACTGCTTATGTTTCAAGGCGGCTATGATGGCAGAGGAGCTGAAGAAAGAGCAAGACACCAGTGCCCACCTGGAAAGAATGAAGAAGAACCTGGATCAGACAGTAAAGGATCTCCAGCTTCGTCTGGACGAGGCAGAACAACTCGCCCTGAAAGGGGGAAAGAAACAGATTCAGAAGATGGAGGCCAGGGTAAACACTGGGGTTCAGAGCTGTGGCACATATAGCTAATAACTTCTGGCAGCATATATCTCTTCAGAGACTCTGCTATTATATGTTCAAGGTCAAATTGTATCATTTCAACTCTAGATCCGAGAGCTAGAGTCTGAACTTGAGGGAGAGCAGAAGCGAGCTACGGAAGCCATCAAAGGTATTCGCAAATATGAACGGCGAGTCAAAGAATTAACTTTCCAGGTAAGAGGAAAGGAAGTAGTTGGTTCACAGCAATTCTTTCCTTTGTGTATGCTAACATTTTGTCACATTTCTAGGGTGAGGAGGACAGGAAGAATGTGATCAGACTACAAGATTTAGTGGATAAACTTCAGTTGAAAGTGAAATCCTACAAGAGACAAGCAGAGGAGGCTGTGAGTTATTTATACTTTTTGGGCATTTAAAAACACCAACAACTGGGTTTCAAAATTGAAATGAGAACCATATTCATACATTGCCTTTTCAGGCTAACGTGTTTGTGTGTGTTTGTGTGATTCTTGTTTGATTATAGGATGAACAGGCCAACGTTCACCTCTCCAAATTCAGGAAAACACAACATGAGCTGGAAGAGGCTGAGGAAAGGGCTGATATTGCTGAATCTCAGGTCAATAAGCTCCGAGCAAAATCCAGAGAAGTTTCTACTACAAAGGTAAATGCCTCTTTTGTCTAGTGCTCAACCATTTTTTTCTACACAAAGGATAAGTGGCATTACAGCAGGAATGAAAGGAATCTGACTTCTTAGGAAAATTCTGGAGCGTTTTCATTAGAAATCTATATATAACTAAAACTCTGGTTGTCATGAAATGGTGAAATGATGCATCATAGAGCAATCATTTTTTAACAAGGTAATTCAAATAGGCTAATTTACAGAATGTGTCCAAAACCTGGGACCCATGACCCAGAGAGCATGAAATTTAAGAAAATTGTGTTTGCTTCAGTGCTACTGGCTCTTGCTCGGCTGATGTTGCAGTCACATGATTTTCATTTTCAACATTCCATGACAGTTTCTCAGCCAATTTAGCAATCCCTTACTCCCTCCCTCACCCAGCAACAGCCACTTACCAGCCACTTCTCTGTCCTACGTAGAAAAGATACATAGTGAGATGGTTGGAGGAAAAATATCCTTTATACAAATCATCCTTAGAAAATAGGGGAATAAATGTCAATCTTTCTGAAAGTTAGCAGAATTTAATTTAATTTCAGCTAATAATTTCTGCCAGCATATTTTCATCTGTGCCTCAATAGAGCAGATCCAAGCAATCTCCAGGCATAAAAGAACATTAGATGCACCCCGGGAGACATGCAGCACTGCTCTTATAGATTGAATTTGAGTTGCTTCAAGAGCAAGTAGATTTTTATAATATGCAAAACTTCACACAATAAAGGAAAAGGTTCAATACTCCAGCCTGAAGAATTTGACTCCAGCAGGGAGGTAATTATTGCCTCTGCGGTATGCAATTTGTATGATTGCATTGGTTCAAGCAGCCATGTCGGGCAGTCATGGTTTTGCTTGCTTCTTCCTTTAGGCAGAAAATTGAACGATGATTCAAAGTTATTTGAAGTCCTTAACTTATTTAGTAAAAGCATTGGTTAGCTTCCCGTAGTGAATGCTGTTACTGCACCTTTTCCCAAACAAAATATTCTAACTCTGGGTATGCTGAGAATATTAAAGGTTTACCTGGGCAAGCAGTTAGAAATGCTCCCCTGATTTATTTTAGCTCTTTGCTGGATAGCTAGGCTTGTGAAGCCACAACTAGAACAGCCATTCATTTGTACAAATATACGCAGGGGAGAAGTAGTATGGATAATGCCAGTCTATTCAAAATATATGCACACAAGCTTGTTCCACATTATCTCTCAGTATCAAAGGCTGCAAAGGCTGGATCAAGCTTATGCATGTAGAACTCTACATTTGGGCTGCATTGAATACCACCTGCAGGATGTGCGGATAAGATAATCCCAATATGTAGATGTAAGTCTTACTTCAGACCATATGCTGACTTTGCACCTAAGCAGGGTGAAAGCCAGTTGGAATCCCCAGGAAGGCAGAATTGAAGCCAGTCTGCCAGTCTTGGGTGTGTGGCCTCTCTGCATGGGACAGTGATATTTTACACAAACGTGGCTTACAGAAAAGATACAGGTCAGACTATGCCACTTTTCATTCTTTAATATTTTCAGCTCACATGCAAGAGGGCAAATGAAGCAAAGTTACGAGTCTTGTTTATGTCTCTTTTTACTAAGATAAAATGGCACCAACTATATCCTGCCTTTACCTGAACTGTTGCAATACATCTGTCTTGGGGTAAGGGAGTGAAGCTGCAGCACCCCTCTGTTTGCAGACCTGGAGGCACACAACTTTGCTTATTTACATTGAGAAAACCTTGTATGAGGATAGATTCTACACAAAAAATGTAGCTGTAGTGATATTTTGCTTTAATCCTTAAAGTATATATGCATATAAAGTATATATACCAACTTTATATATATATATATATACCAACTTTATTTTTGTTTGTTTGTTTCTGGCAGGTTGTAATAGAAAGTGAAGAATGAATCCATTGCTGGACTGAAGATGGGAATATATGCAAAATGCATATGTCTTCCTGATCTTTTTTGAAAATTGTAGTAATCTTTCCTTAGTCTGACCAGTAGAAAATAAATTGTGCTTTACTTAACAACTAAGAGATTTTTGTTTTCTTTCTGAATATGGTGCGGTTTCTATTTGCTAATGTTTGATATGTTCCTTTGTATGACATATTAAGAGTTACACTCCAAATATCAGTGGAGACAATTTATTTTTCACATATTGTATATGTATTTTATTTTCCCTTGCTCTCATATAACTGTTTACCTTTCCCCCAATATATATGCAAAGTCTGTCTAATTATACCATTCCAGCAAAATCCTCCTCCTCCTCAATCTCACACTGCAGTTTATTTGTTTACCTGTAGATGGAGCTATAGTCACCAGTGACACCAGTCTCAATGCTGACAAACTGATTTTAGTCTGAGGGGGATGAAAAGAAGCACTGTAAAGGCAAGAAATTAACACAAGTGGATTAACAGCACAGAAGGAAAGGAGGAGTGGGATGAACACAGATGCTGCACTTTTTGTTCAGAACAAATGGAAGAAAGAACTTTTCTTTCATTTCCCAAAGGGAAAAAAAGCACAGCTTTGTTTGTTTACAGAGAGGCCTATCCATGTCATAATAGTCTCCTCTACGATTATCAAGAAAAAAAGAGTCAAAATTCCCCCCCCCCACACACACACCTCGCCCTTTTTGGAATAAAGAAGAATGAAAGGAGGGAGTGGCAGAGAGAAAGACAGAGAAGTGGTTGAGGAAATGAAAAGACAACAGTCCACACTACGTGGGCACAAATACTGGGAGTGAAGAGGCTGAAGGAGAGGGGCTTTCCTGAGCAACCCCAAGGTTCCCCTCCTTTCCCCCCCTCTCACTTCATTCACATTTCCTGCAGCTCTCTCTGAAATATCAATGCAAATTATGCCTCAGCTTTGTGTCCTGTTCTCTTAAGAGTCACAAACAACATTTAGAACTCTGATTATATAAACACTGCATGACTGAATCCACATATCAGCAAAGAGATCCAGTATAACTATTGATGTATGTATGTCACTGTCCCTCACAATTTAGCCACTGCAAGAGGCAATGAGAACAACGGGTTTTTCTTTCACTCCCCCTTTGTCTATCACTCTGCCTAGATTGCTGGTTTTAGGTTACTTACTTTTACCTTTGTTACCAAATTCAGACACACTGAATTGCTGCTCCCTGAGTCTCCTCTTGATAGGATGAAGTTACCTAGATGCTAGGCTTTGCTTGTCCCTATTGTGTATTTCTTTTAAATCAGTCTCCTTTCTGTTCTTATGGTTAGTTATTGCTCAGATTAGACTACACTTCTAAAGAACTCATATTTTCATGCACACTGTTCCTATCTCTCACTCCCACCCCACAGGGTGGATCCCCACTCTACATTATCATAAAAAAGCTGCTTAGAACATGGAATGGAGAGATGATGACAATGTAATATATATGTTTTAGACTAAGATGGAGCACACACTGGGCTAGGGTACCAAAGCTTAGGAGGTGCCAACATTGCTATGGCTCTAAATCATTCTAAAAGTAGCAATCTTTGCATCATCAGGAGGTGGCACTATCATTCAATGTGGCCTAGGGAGGTACCATATATCCTTGCACTGGCACCGGTTTTAGACCATGAATTAAAATTTGCTTCTAACATCTGAAATCCTTTTGTAGCACTTCCCACTCTTCCACTATAGCAAATCTGTTGAAAAGGATAGCGCATCGCTTCATCTGTGGAATTACTTCCTTAGGAATCAATGTGAGAGCCCTGCTCAGTTATTGTGGATGTGTGACAGCATTACAAGAAAACATTTTCCTCAAGATGGGCCTCACTGCAGCTTTGATTCCTAGTATAGAAACCTAAGAGACAGCAAGTACTGTAGCTGCTGAGAGGGAGAGTGAAACTTGACAAGGTTATATTGTCTTACATAGAAAGGATATATGCCTGAGCCAGTAAGCTAACTATAGGCAGTCTTAGAGATTTCTTGATATAGTTAATGTAACTTTAATAGACATGCAAGACATTCCACAGGAGGTTGTCTGCTGCATGTTAAAATGGACCATGATGTCATAATACTATTGATAACACAGTTTTAAAAAGTCAGACCCTATTCATCTAAGCAATCATATAAACTTATCAATTGCCACAAATAATATCCATTTGTAAAATATCCTGCTGATTTATTATAGGAGAACGTCTACAAAAAGGTTCTTTACTATAAATGTGGATTAATTTGATGTAGATAGATATTTTTGCCCCTAACATAAGCATTTCACCATGTCTTATATAGATTTATCAGTAGACTTAAGAATGTAGGTTAGGAGTAAGACTGTCAATGACTGTTACAATGGAGAAGCTGAAAAGTATGATAGCATAACATTTACTTAAGCCGTCTTCAAACTTAAGAGAGAGAGAGAGAGAGAGAGAGAGAGAGAGAGAGAGAGAGAGAGAGAGAGAGAGAGAGAGAGAGAGAGAGACTGTTTGCAGTCTACAACTGATGCTGGATGGACAAGTATTATTGGTGGGAAAAATGGCTTTTCATAAGATTTGTTTAGTAACCCAATTGCATCCATCTACAGGGCAGAGACCTGGCCTCTATGACTTATGTGCTGGTACTGTATATCTAAAAGGTGGGTTATCGTAATGTGCAAAATGCACTTTTTGTAGAGCAGCCAATAAAGATGGCCTAGAAATTAGAATGTCCCAGAATTTGGCAGCAAACATAGTGAGTAATGCCTCCTTGAAGGTCTCACATGGCTCCCACGTTTAAAGAGCTTCACTGGTTGCTGGTTGTCTTCCAAGTCTGAGTTATGATGGTTGGGGGCAATCCTCTCTTTTCAACTATCTGAAATCAGGCTGGTTGTTATAAAACAGAGCAGAGTATTTCTCTTTGCTGTTCCTCTCTGTTTTATTCCTCTCTTTCACGCAATGTCTTTTGCAGTGCAAGAATTGTTCTGATTTGTTCCTGACTTTGGGTAAATGACTCCAGAAGCTTTGTCTGAAGCACGGGTGTCAAACTCGATCACGTCACATGACGTATCATGACGTATCGTGACTTTTTTGCCTTTGCGGATCCAGGGTGGGCATGGCCTGCGCAGTGATGCATCCGGCCCGTAAGCCGTCAGTTTGACACCCCTGGCCTGAAGAATGGAGTAAATTATTTTAAATATTAAATATGATTCTGAAGGAAGTAAATAATGAAGTCACACACTTTCTATGGACTTCCTCTGCTTTGAAACTTACAAAGTACTTCCATTGAAGTTGCATAAGAAACAATAAGTAAATCATTCTTTATTTCAGTGAAATCAAAAATATTGCACCTATTACTTATCCCAATTTGGATTCAAGAATTTAGGAAAGAAATGTTTACTGCTTTTCATGGTTGACTCAAGTCCCTAAGGACAGAGGAATTTGCATATTTATCACCTGTGAAGCAAATAATTGACAACAGGGAGCTATAGAAAGAACAGAACATTACAATTCCCCAGAGTGAGAACAATTAATCAGTGGAACGACTTGCCTTCAGAAGTTGTGGATGCTCCAACACCAGAAGTTTTTAACAAGAGATTGGACAGCCATTTGTCCGTAATGGTGCAGAGTCTCCTGCTTGAGCAAGGGGTTGGACTAGAAGACCTCCAAGGTCCCTTCCAACACTGTATTCTGTTATTCCATTACTGTGTCTGCTTCTCCTGTTTTCAGAGTATAGTAGTTGCCATTGTGCTTAAATAGTGTGTATTAACATCTCTAAACACTGGGTGGTATGCAAGAATCTTAAATGGTGAAAGCATAAACAATAACCTTAAAATAAGGTATAGAAATGTTAGTATCATAAGATTCACATGTTATATGGACCTGAATTGTACTCTTTTTCTATAATGAAAAGATGCTTTCATTTGATGTGCAATAAATAGTGTGAGAAAATCAAACCCAACAAAATCTAGTCATAGTCCATCCAGTCTGAATCTCCTGAAGGAAGTTGACCAATTTTAGCCAATCATACACAGCAACTTTTCCCATTTTAGGACTACCTGCCTAATAGACAAACTTGCTTTCAGTTTCTTTAGGATGCTTTTGTATCACAACTAGCATTTTGGACCTGAGATCCACAATGTAGTATCTGGAGGTATTGATGTGTACAAATCTCTTTGGCTTCTGATTTTCTTATGTTAAATTTTTATTTCAACTAAAAAAAAGCTGCCATACTGCAAAGCATTAGGGTAGATAAGCAATATAATCATTATGACCATCATGAGATTTTTCTGTACATAATTCAAGGTTTCATACAATAATGCTATGCTTTTAATTGAGGACAATCTTTACATTAATAAAAAAGGTTAGCATCATAGGAATTTTCTGAAATACCACATACTTACCTCTCCCCCCCCCAACATACTCTCACAGTAGTTCCTGCTTCAAAAGTAGGGGACTGCGGTATTCTAGGCCAGAAGTTTTCAAGACACAAATGGAGGAATGTCTACTTATCTGCCTTTGAACAGGGGGCAAAGATAGACTACCAAGCAAACCTGCTAAAATGAATTACAGTACACATAACTTTGAACTTGAATGGCAATTGCTAAGTTCTAAAATACAATGAACCTGCAATTTGATGGATGTTGGTTTAGCAGTTTGGGGATTTAATGGACAGGATCTGCTGACTGAGAGAGTTCCTGCCACATCCCTGGCCTGCTTTTCAATTCTACTGTACGCTTTTCTACTTCTGGGAACTGTTCTGCCTCTTAGATCAACCAAGTGAATCTAAGAGCCAGTGTTTCTGGCTCTTGTGCTTCCAAACATGCTCTCAACCTCCATTTGGCTTCTTGTCTGTGATGATTCATTTTGCCTGAATAGTCACAGCTCATGCTGCTTTGTGATCTTTGGCTGAGACCTGAATGCCTTTTTCACACTTTTGATACAATTATTTCTGGGCTTGAAAAATCCTGTTTCTCAATAAATGGAGTCTTGGCTTTAACCGGCCTTCCTTCCGCCCATTAGTTCCCATGGGTCCATTAAACTGAAGGCTCACTGTACTCTAATTGACAGGTCTGATCCTTCAGAGAAAGTGAGATTATTCTTGGCTCCTTTTGCACTATTACTTCCCAGCCGCTTCTTAGACTGTGATCAGCTGTGATCGGCTTTCTTTTATTCTGGATTTTTTTCACTAGTGATTTATAGACTCTCGAAGTGCCATCTTGCTATTTCTATGCAATATAAGGCAGCCTTTGTGAATTATTATCATACTGATGGCTGAGTGGCAGTGTAAGATGGCGTAAATCATCAGTGAGGAACTCTTCATAATGTTATGCTTTTCAGCTTTTTTGTTTGCTTGCATGTAGAACATCCTTAAGTGTTTTATTGTGGATAAAAGCACCATATATCTCCACATCGCTGAAGGGGTAGTGAGAGGATATGTCCCATTTGCCTTGTCACTT